CCTGACATCAATAATGTGGAATCGTTGGCTCGAAGCTATGCTTACTGGCCTACAATGGATCATGATATCTAAACCAGATGCCACAATTGTTCGTCGTGCCTGCAAGCACCTAAAAGTCCAAAGAAGTGTGAACCACAACAATAGGAAAAAAGTAATAGTTCCTGGGAGAGGCTGCGCGCAGATTTTGCCAGCCCAGTACAAGGAAGAATGTTTCTAGTCATAGTAGATGCACATACAAAATGGCCACAAATCTATGTCATGGCAAATTGCACAGCCAGTGAAACAATTAGCAAGTTATTTGAATTGTTCAGCTGCTTTGGAATTCCGGAGACTTTAGTGACCGATAACGGCTCACAACTCACTGCAGAATCATTCAAGCACTTCTGCAACACTAGTGGGATTGTACATATACGCTCTTCATCCTATCACCCCCAATCAAATGGACAGCAGAACGCTTCGTGGACACATTCAAAAGAGAACTACTGTAAGAGGAAGGCGAGGACAAAAGTCAGGTAATTACGAAATTCATAACAGCTTATAGAATTACGCACAACTAACTACGTCTAACTTAGGTTGGTCCATGATTTTAATCGAAAATAAAGAAGAATAGGTCTAGAAATAATATCAGATTAGTTGTATTTCACACTTACCTAAATAAAATTAATTTTACAACTCAGCTAAGGTATATATGTTAATTGTTAGGTATGAGTGAATAATAAGTGAAAAAGATTGAATTTTCAAAACTATTCTACAGGGAGTTATTTTTATGTATATTTATTAAATGTTTCAGGTTATGGTATTTTATTATTGTCCTAATCGTAACCTGTCATTTAACAGTTGGTATATGTTTTTGATTGTTTAATAAACTATTACTTATTAACTATATTTATGTTTTATATATATGACCTACTTATGTACCAGTTATGATTTTTAATACGGTGTTGTGGAGATTACGAAGTTTTGATTGAGATCATGAACTGATTGATGTTAGACCACCGGTGAAAACCTAGAAGTACTGGATGGCCATTTCGTTATAGCACGGGACCCCTCAGAAGTGAGCACCCACGATTCCGCACGCGGGACTCAGGCCCAGGATCTTCGGTCTCGCTCGCAAACGCTCAAAATCTAGACCACTGGGTCAGCATCCAATGATGTTAATGTCTAAACTCAAGCAATCCGTGAAATTGCGCGACCATCTTCCATTGTCCGAGGTAAATACCTGTATCTGCCTGACACGGATTAGCTCCACTAGTCACGGCTTCTCACTAGAACTCCGAGAATTCATTCACGAAGCTAGTCACTAGTGAGCACATGGCAATTGTCATCAGGACAAAACGGCCATCCAGTGCTTCCAGGTTTTCAATGGTGGTCTAACATCAGTCGATTCATGATCTCAATAAAAAATTATGGTGTTTTCTTGTCCCATAATTGATACAGATTATCATATAATATTTCTAGTCATGACAAAAATAGTTGAAGGTAAATTGGCTTGCAGTTTATGTGTTTTGATTGATTACTGGGTATATATATATATGGGCCAATAGGCGTTAAGATATCTAAGCGATTTTCCGGTGTCGGTCATTTGTGTTATTGGCCAAGCCAAGGTCATTCGTCCCATTGACGTTAGGTGAAGTCCTCGTTAGTAGAATGTTAGAATTTAGTGACCATAAAGAAGTTGAATCCATAAAACTAGTACAAATTTCCTCAGGATAAAAACCTTCGCAACTCTAGTCAGGCAACTTCGTTATGTTATTCTTACTAAACTTACAGGTAATACAAGTCTGACACATCATAAATAGTCAGTCATAAAATGTACGTAATTAGGATGTTGATCGTACAAATTTACCGTAATAGGTTTAAAATTTGCAAAGTTAGCTTTCATAATAAAAGCTGAGCAGTAATGCACATAAATCACACACTTATGTAAGTTATCTTAACTGATCCAAAAACTAGGTATGTGAGTGGTAATTTTGGCTCGGTGAGTAACTCAATCACCCATAAAAGGTCCATCGGCACTCATTTCTCTCACCTACCATGTGACCTAGCGCGGCGCGTGATCTATCTCGCCATGAATCACAATTTGTTATGACTACAAATTCTTACATACCCACTTAATTGGGTCGTTCAATTATAGTGTTTACCAATGAGAAGTTCCGACCAGATCAATGATTTTCTCTCTAGCCAATATCACAATTAACCGGAAATCCTAAATTTTATTAGTTCGAGTAGATTTTTGTGTCCCAAGCGCACAGTCAGAACACCAATAAAACAAATGGATTCACCTATGATTGCATTGCCATCATGATTCAACAGCCTGGAGAATTACATACATCAATTACGCAGGCATAAAACAGCTCAAACAGGAAACTACAATATGTACATAACTAGGTCATACGTGATATGTGCATAATAGGTTTCATTCAAATCGTTAATAGATTTAAGTTAGAAAACCATTGAAAATCTGGAAGTATTGGACGGCTGTTTCATCCCAGTATGGGACTTCTCAGCAGTTTGTAACCACGACCTCTCAAGAAGGAACCAAACCCAGGATCTTCGGCCTCGTGTGCAAATGTTTAGATCCTAGATCACTGATCTACCATCCAACGGTGCTTATGTTGAACTTCAATTAATACACGACCATCTTTCATTGCCTCCGGTGGATAAGTGCTTGACATCCAAAACTGATTAGCTCTACCGGTCACGCTTCTCACTAGAACTCCGAATATTTCTCTTGGAGTTAATCACTCGTGAGCACATGATAATTTTCAGTCACGAATATTTACTGCTGAGGAGTCCCAATAGTTGCCCAACGCTCCTAGATTTTCAATGATTGTCTAAGATCAATCCATGATTTCATCTAAATTCAATGAACAACACAACCTCATACTGAAAAGTATAATTAATTAAAAATGATTTAAATACGGTAAGATGTATGACAATAATTACCAAGTTAAATGAAGGATCATAATTAGGAAAACATAAAAAATGCCGTTACACAAACATTTATTAATTAAGAACGAATCGAGAGAAATTTCTTCCTAATTAGTTTTGCATCACAACTACGCTACTACAATACTCATCAAGTAGTTACGTAGCGGAATAATTATATAGGGAGTAATATTGGTAACCTGCTTAGTAGAAATCGATGTCCAAAGTAATTCATCAACAAACACATGGAAGAGATGAAAAAAATTCGAATTCATCTACCGTCTCGAAGAAGGTGCTGTTCAAAAAATCGAAATTCCTAAGTGATGCTACTGAGGAAATTGTGACTCAAAGGTTAAGAAAGGAGGTACAGAAAATATTTAATGCAGCCAGACACAGTGTCGTTTTCTACAACCGTCCCATAATAAGAAACGTTGATAAGGACAGACTGCCTGAATTCGCCATATCCATTTGTATCTACTAATTTAACTGCTTCTGTGGAGCCAATTATATAGGACGTACAATTAGGCAAGTTTGTCATCGCATACCAGAACACCAACCGTCTTGGTTGAATAAAGGACATGTAAGAGTGATTAAGAGTTCTATTGTCGCTCACTTGGTGAACACAAGTTGATTTGAATAAAGCACTTAAGGTTATCCACCATATTCCATCGAATTTACTGCAAAGCTTTACGAGTTTGTCTTTTGCACATTGCTGAAGCTATCAGAAACTATGTTCACAAACCAAACATTTGTATCCAAAAGAAGTTTGTACGATTACTCTCTCTGCCTTGACCATCAATATAGGAGTGAACTTGTAGCTGTACGTTGATGAAACCCTCTCCTTTAAAAATATTCAAATTATTTTATTCCACTTTCATATCATAACACTATTTTACCTACAGAAATGACCAGCTTTTCATTGATTGTTAGACAAAAATGTTGCTGGAACTCATGTTCACTAACTTTCATACATTATCAATCTTCTGTGATTGGAAGTAATCGGTAGAAAGCCTTGGATTCAGATTTCGGGTTAGTAGGTACTCGTCTGCAAGGTATATCTTGAGACAGACTCATCCCCCGGTGATAAGATAATCAAACATTACTTATGTGAAAAGAATCGCGTAGCTACTTGCATTTCAGTAGTTAAGAAGCTACTGTTATAAATATAACCGAAGGCGTATTGACTTATACTACATCCTATTTCAAGAAACTTATTTCGGTCTCCATTACTGAGTAGTAGCGCTCAGAAAAACTAACTGATGCCCAACTGTCGAATAATGAGCATTTGATTCATAACTAGACTGAGAATATTCATCATTTCAAAGTTAACTGGTGTCAGGTTTATCGTTGGAACTGATTTATACTACTTACATAAAAGTGAAAGTAAATCACGTTTATCAAGCGTCAAACTAAATTCAACTGAATTTACAAAACACATTTCAATATAATGATCTCTTACCACAGATACTTTCACAATATCAATAGCTTATTATGTAATTGTAGACATAAACATGGTCGACAATGTAATAAACCTACAACAACTTAAGCATACTGTCTTTCCGATCGATGTAGGTCTATGTCATATGGTAGTGGAAACGAAAGATACTCTCTACCCCGTACATTGAGAAATTTAATTGACTTATGGATTGAAAATTGATGTATAATTCACGCACACTACGAAAACGTCAAGTAACACGCACAAACACACAGACAAATGCAAACAACAATCGTCTTTATATTGAGACTCAATCAGACTGAATTTAATTCAATTAATAGTTTTGACCTTATTCATGCATTACTAAACATTATAACAAGTTAACAACATTGCATCATCCTATTCACTTAGAATAATACAAAGTGAATTATTTATAATAATTTGTGACCAATGAGTCAATCAGAAGAAATAGAGCTATGACCTAATGGTTAAAGGGGTTAAACCATTGAACTACCCTAAATGTTTTAGATATGAACTCTTCTATATGTACTTTGATTTGAACAATTAGGTAGTAGTATGATTAACTTTCTTACACTTAGAATGTAGCTAATATTCAGTTAGAAGATCAAAATAATTATCTAATATAATAAACACTTTATTTAAACAAACAAACAAAAAATACAAAAAAAAAACGAAAATCTGCACTGTAAAAGTTGTTGTTCTTTTTGTAGTTTTTTCGAATAGAAAACAATTGCATACCAACAAAAAAAAAGAGAATTAAAAGTTGTTATTTTTCTAACGTTTACGTATAGTATTTCCAGCCCAATCAATTTTATTTGTATTTTTTAAGAAATTTAATCCATCTTCAAAATTTTCACGTGTAATCATACGTTCAGAACGTGCACGTAAATCTTCTAATACACGTGAATAAACAAAAGTTAATACACGAGGACGTTCTTCAAGAAGTGACCATATTGCCATTGCCATTTCTTCACGTCGTTTACGTACACTACTACTGATACCTATTTTTAAAAAAAGAAGAGTTAAAAAAATGAAAAAAAAAAACAATCAAGGGAAAGGATGAATTTTGATAAATATTGTATAATAGTGATTTGTAAGGGTAATATTGTATTATATTTCACTAAAAGTAATGCTTATAATGTAATCTTAAAAAATAGTTTAAAATTTCTACCTCATGAACTGACGTCAGTTCCATAACCATAGAAAATTAGAAAGCATTGTACAGATAAATCTTTTTAGTGTAAAACTCCGCCGGAGTGAGCAACCAAGAAGCCAGGACGTTTACATATCGCTACATGTAATTAGTCTCTAGACTAATGAGTCAGTATTCAACAGTTTACACGTCTAATTTCAGCTGATTCATTGTATTGTACAAACAACTTACAATGCTATTGGTGGGTTAGTGCATTACAATCAATATAGTTGGACTTCATCAGTTAGTTATGGCTTTGCAATAGAACTCCTGAAATTATTCATGATTAACCACAATATTATCAGCATATTAGGGTTTCTGGAAATTTCTGAATTTTGATTCACATTAAGGATTAACCTTAGTTATGCAACCTCAAGGAGTCCAATCTGTTCCTGGTAGGATCGTGGATATGCAATGATGAGGACGATACTACAATGGGAAAGTTATTTAATGCTACCAGGTTTCAAATGATTTTCTAGCTAAGATCATATCTATACTTTCGGATGAAATGGTAGACTAGCCTTAATATATTTGATTACAACTATAATTTATTAACTACCATAAAACAAACACAAGATAGGTTTATAGGATAGATTAAAATATTATGAAAATTTAAATTGATATTAATTTTGCAATTAAATCTAGACTACTGTTTTAAGTAGTCAAATGTTGTATACCTGTTGTTAAAATATTGATATCGATAGTACCAGTAAGCGGATCAATAGCTGCTTGTTTTAACGCTTCACGTTGTAAACGTCGAGCTTCACGACAATCATCAGCCGTAACATGATTTGATAATCGTAAACGAGCATGAGCTTCAGCTAAACGTACAAGTGATTCAAGTTGACGAGGATATGCGGATATCTTATAAGGTTGGTATTAATAATAATAAATATGAAAATTATAAGAGTTAATTACAAGAATAAATGAGAATAAGAAAACAAAACAAATTCATCTCAATTTTGTAATACATTCTGAGAATGAAATAGAATAGAAATGTAATAATACAACATAAGAAAGTTTTATGTATACCTTATAAGTTAAACTAGATAGAAACTAACGAGACTAATGGTGAGAATACCAAAGTTTATTACAGTACAATACATAGTGATATTAAAACTTGTGTTCGTCTTATCAGGTATGAAGTACGTTATATGAAATTATAATAATTATCATTTTTGTATTAGACTGGAAATCAAGTTAGGAACAATAACGGGGTAGATTGCATTCATATAGCATACAACTCTCTTTGAACTTAGCACACTGTTGGAGAGATCCCAAGTATTCCTCGAAAAAGTTCAGAACGGCCCCGGAAATCCCGGGAAGCATTTTATCTAATCATCGTTGAACAAAATTTTCTCGGAAACATACAGAAATTGAAGAGTCGCAAGTCACATTTCTAATTGGATGGTGATCTGTCCTGCTACTATGTTTATTATGGTTTCAGAAGCCTAAGGTCATCTGAAATACCATAAGTACTCTCGGTTTTCTGTACATAACCTAACCTTGGAGTAAAGACCTTTCTCATATTACGCGCCGTATTCCCCGTGTAAATTTAGCCTCGGGTTATTAAAGAGCTTAGGAAACCGATTCAAGTGTTCAATAAGAAGACTTGTCACACACAAAAATAACGTCATGCACTGTCCCATCCCCCTTAGTAGATCAGGCGATCGAAGTCACAAAAACACCTGGTTGGCGGCTATGCTCCTACATGAGGCTGAAAGGTGTGAGTGGGAGTAGAATTCATTAAAGTGTTTCAATATTTTTGGATAAATATTGTAAATTTGAATAACTTACAGACTTTAAAACGCTGGTAATCCGTTTCTAAAACAACTCTACACATTTAAACGATAAACTGATGATAGCTAAAAATAAAATGCGGGATGTAAATTTCATTTTAGCATTCGTCAGCTGAATATGCCTGCATCCCAGTGTCACTTTACACTCCCGAAAACGAACTTAATGCCATTTGATTTAAACACCAACTCATTATCTATTGATCTACTCGGTTCATAATCCAACTAACCTATTTAAAGGATATGGTATTTAGTTGTAAGGGTTTGAGTCAGTATATTAGCATCAACAGTACGATGTAGGCACATCCAAATGACGAGATCCAAGTAAGACGAAACGTGCGTCTTAGATTTAACTGCTAGCTACAATCTACTTATTCTATAAAAACTGTGATAAAATGGTTATATCGAGGCTATCAGAACAGCATGCACATATACCACCAACAAACACTGGTCGAAATTGAGTTCTGAGTATTAAATTCTATAGACCTATTTTTAAACCCCACTTTCATTTGTGAAAAGATATCATATCATGGATGGACACGTTTGTTGTCCGCACGAAACATCATGCTACCATTAAACCCAAGTACCGTTGGCAGTACAAGTACAGCGGACTGTATATCTCTTACTTTGGTTTCACTGTCATTCAATTGACCTGTTTGGAATAACAGAACTTCAAGGAACAAGAACTCCAATGTAGGAGGATTAAAAATCCAAACTTTGAAATAGCCTTTGATGAACGGGGCTATACGACCTGAAAATGTGATGATTTTTAAGAATAATTCCAAGTTAAAACGAAGCCAAGGAGTAGTATTGATCCTAACATGTTCTCCTAGTTTTTTTGCATCTCTCGTAACAACAAAAGCTGTAACTTTATTTATTTATTTATTTGAACACATAAATATTGGTACAAGAGAGCGCCAATATATATGCGCCACACTAACTAACTGTTAAAAAAAGTAGAAAATCGATATTTTTAGTTTACACCACGAACTAATCAGTCAGACTACTGAAAACTAGTCAAAACATGGGACTTTTCAGCAGTACTAACCTCGAGATCTGGGTCAGATCCCCAGTAAAGTAGAGGATTTACACTTCTAAGGAGCCCCACACTAAGATGAAACAGCTTTCGAACGTGTCCTGTTTTTTAGTGGTTGTTTAAGTAAGATCAGTCCATGATGTGAACTATGAAATTCAGCAATCGCCAAAAAGTCCGATAATAAGAATCAATATTTAGAGGACCTGTGATAAAAAATTATTTTGTATTGTAGTCTTCAAAAGTATATAAGGTAACTGATGCAACACTGATGACATGAAAAATGGTGATGCAATAAAGTAATCATTAAGTTACCTGTCCACGACCTGAACCCAGTTTTCGCATTTCTACATACTCACGAACTAAATATTCACCGGCTTCTTCCGTTAGTTTGGGGAAGTACTTCATCTTAAACATAAATTAAGGTGGAAATATCATTTTTATTGGTTATCATTGTTACTAGAGATTACTAAGAAAATCTGCTTCATTTGTTATTGAACATTTTACGGTTCTGATGAAGGACTTAATGTGAATGCTTATTAATTCTAGAAGAATGCCTAGGAAAAAATAGATTGACACGCTGGGCTAATCGTACATACAGCAAATGCTCATGAGATGCTGACAGACGCAAACCCTACTGGTTAAGATTTGGCTTCGTTATCTGAAAGACATACATCTACGTTTAAGAATGTGTTGTGGATATATATTCTCGATTCGGTTAACTAACAGAATCTTTCTACTTACTCCGGGTTTTTTCACTCAAGTAGTTCATTAAACTCGCGTATAAGAAGCACATATATTAACAGCAGAATTATACGGCCACAAAACATAATATGGATAAAACAGTTTGCCATAAAATATGATGCGATCAAGTGCTCAAGTAAAGGAATTTCAACATATTCATGTGATTTATTAGTATACCTTTCACTGATAGACTATTGAAAAGAACTCCCGATTAGCAGTCAAATGCATCGTCCAAATAAAAAAGACATATGATTACAATGGATTATCAGTTAGTAGGAGTATATATTTGCAAACCTATTGAAGAGGGAATACTCTATTTGTATTTCGCGAGACAATAATTTAAGTAAAATATATTTTGAAATCACTGGCCCCCAAATACCCTGGTACAACCGAGGGTTTGAAAAGTTACCTCTACCTCTCAAATGGCCACGCGTATACATACACTGATAAGGAAGTTCTACTCACCGCCTTCTCGTGGCGGGGGTGTTGTCCACGAAACTGAGAGGACGAAAAGCGAATGTTTGGTGCTTTAACCGGGTTGGTGGACATGGAGGGTCTACCTAGGGGAGTCAGAAAACTGATTCCAAACCAATGGTGCATATAGGCTTCAGAATCCTGAGGGAAAGATGACGTATGAACCTATTGTTTGTCACCGGCTACCATGTGGTTGCATCATCTTACGCTGCTCCAATGCCTTATGAATTAGACCTGTAGGTCAAAGGTTCGGGGCGTCCGAGGAATATTTCACTTCTCACACAAATCGGATGATGAAGTGTGGGGCATAGATATTTGTTTCGTCCTTGCACCAATGTTTGTGTTTAAATAAATAGTTGATGAAAATCTTAGGATTTATATTTCACTATTTATTAAATCATCAATTAGCAACTGTACTACCGATCAAAATTGAACTTAAACTTGATTAGTAGAAAGTTGTAAATAGTAATTTTAGATAAAAACAGTATTGTATTAATTATTATTCAGTGACTAATGCTTTTAAAGTATGAAATGAGTATAAACGATTTCAATTACTAAAAAAAGCCTTGTAAGGTATTCCATAAACATATCTTTTAGAAAAATAGGATATACTTAACTGCTAAGGTAAGCATAGAATTATTAAAACAGATTTTCTATTTGAACTCATTCTTATTCATACTACAAGGTCTCTCTGTTTAAATGTTTCGGGTAAATTTCACTGAATGTTAACTCTGTCTACCTTAAGGATTAAAATTTGTAAGTGGTACAACAATGAATACCTTAGCATAGGCTATATAATCCTTCAAGAGTTTTCCGTTTACAAATGATGGATCATCATCAGTTTGACTATCCATGTCCAGTAGAACAGCTCCTGGACGCGGTCTACGTGTACCTCGAGTATTATTATTATTGTTGGTCGGAATATCCTGACTGCTATCAATCTGACTAGGAGTAGTACCACGATAATACAACCCAACCAAATGTCTGGCTAATCTTGTATCATAAACTTCATCTTGTGGATCCAATATAAGAAAAATGAGATCGAATCTTGATAGAAGAGTATGAGGTAACTAAAAATAATAGAAAAAAACATAAAGAAACGATGCAATAACTAGGTCAACAAGTAACTAAGAAATAACATGCTAATGAACAAAATAAATTATCGTTTTAAAGCCTCTCCCCAATTGCCACGGTACGGTTGAAGAGAGCCCATTCTCCCTATTAAAATGCTCTCATATACCTAGATGTTCGTAGCAAGTATCAGAGAAGCCTTACTCACTTTATTCACATGGTGAGATTGTGCTTTTTACGAAAGTGAGAGGAAGAGAAATAAAGGCCCTGTGTTTAGACTTGAATGGTGGATACGAAGGATCCACCTAGGGAAGTTGGAAAACCCTGATTTTAAACTGGTAACATACATGGGCTTTAAGATCCCTGACAAAAGATACGTTTCAGAGTTAGAGGAATTTTGTACCGAAATTTTTCGCGTCTTATGACCAGGTGACACTTAAAAATAATATTTCTCATGTTTGAGTTCCAATAATTTAAAATTCAAATCCGAACTGACATATATGAATCTAGAGTCAGACAGCTGACTCCTGATTACAAAGCACAAGTGAAAAACGGGGTAGATTCGGACTCGATTCATTGATGAAATGATACCTATTAACGCTGAATATCGTGTAAGTAGTTTATTTGTTTCGTTAGTAAATTACGAATTTCAGTATGTTAATGAAAAATACTTTATATATGTGCTCCAACTCCTAACCTAGTAGTATTTGGCTTTTATCCAGCTGTTTGATACAAGAAAAAAAAGGTTTTCCATCTCTGATACTGGTTAAGATGAGTTAAAATAAAGCACTTCAACAACAAGACTCTTTTAAGTTCAATATAGATTAATACAGAGGAATATGTGAAAAATACCTCCAGTTATGTATTATTTTATAGTGACAGACAAAATAGCGAATTAAGTTATTTGTTAATAGACGACAGTTAAATCATTATGAAAATTATAAATGATTAAGGTATTTCCCATATCAAGGTAATTCTCAGTCAAATAATCAAAATGAAAGAATTCATATGATATACATTGTCGAAACTTTTGTAAATTAATATTATTAGTGTAATCAATTTGTAGAAATTATTGAATTTGATAGTTGATAACACAGATTGAACTTAGATAATCATAGTAAATCGGGAAAAACTGAGTAAAACTGTTTTGTCTTAGCATGAGACTAGTCATGGCGTTGCATCCATAATGGATCGGTTACTGGATCCTTGCGTCTTAACAATAAGACAACTGAGATGATATTGAATGATCCATATCTGTTGTCATTGGTGCGTAACTGACTCACATTAAAAATGGACGAACTTTGCGAATGGAGGACTGATTGGTCGTAGATGTAAACCATTAGACGTTAACTGAAAGATCTAAATATTAAGCACTCGCCATGAGACCTGAAGATCCTGGGTCTGATTCTAGGCGATGTTGTGCATGCGCTTTATCGAAGAGTTTCATATCAGGATGAAGAGTCTATCTAGTCTTCTTTAATTCTCAATAGTTATTCAACTAAGGTCAGTTCGCGATGCTACTACTTAAGAAAGTTAAATATAGTTACAAGAAGAATTCAATAAAAAATGGAGCAGTTACCTGTATATTGTCAATAATCGTTTTGCTAGGATCCCATTTAGAACCGATTGGATTAGCAGCTGCCAAAATTGAAGTTCTAGCATGAAGTTGACAAAGAATACCAGCTTTAGCAATACTTAAAGTTTGTTGTTCCATTACTTCGTGTAGTACAGAACGAGTTGAGTCGGACATTTTGTCGAATTCGTCGATACAACATATCCCATTATCAGCCAACACTATAATTACATTATGATGAGATAAATAAATAATGTTGAAAATTTTCAAAACAAAGATAACACGTATCTGATCGTAGGAATCAAAAGAGCAACATTATATATTAACGGAAGTGTGAGAGCAAGTAGTAGTGTATGTGTATTTCTGTGGTAGGATTTCATCTTAAATTTATATTCGTGTAATAAATATATTAATTCATGAGAAGTGGACCTTACTTTAGAGCTAAAAAACGCTTGGTGTCAGTCAGTCTAGGAAATGAGACTGGAAATAATGCAATTAGAAGAAAAATAATGAACTTATAGGTTAATAAAAGATGGTTTAATGAGAAAAAATAACCGCTGTTAATTTCATTTAGTTACAAAGTATCATCTTACTTCCATGAATTTGGATGTTTGGATGTTAACGATTAAGTAGTGTTGTGGTCAAGGAATGCTAATTATGTGTAAGAAAAATATGTTAGCAGGATATAGGTTGAATTTAAGCATGTTCCATAGAAGATTGTGTTGGAGAAGGCTGTAAAATTCTAAATATAATGTTTTTTTACTGAGATTCATTCCCATCCAACTTGGTTTATATGGGATATAACTACGTGCCTGTCCAAGCTATGTTCTGATTCGGAGGACTAGTCGAGTGAGGTAAAATATCCAAATACTAAGTAATAAGTGTATATGAGTCGGATAACAAAGGATTTAACACATGAAAATAACGATATATGATTCCACGTAATTTTAACGAGCCAACTACACATTTGAAGGTATTGGTGAAATAATACCAAGTCTGAACATAAAGTATCAGGTCTAAGATCCGCTATCTGAATGGATAAAGTCAGTTAACTTCACTCAACTAAGGGTTAGATAATGCTTTAACACTTATCTGCCACACTAAGAATAAGAAAAAACCGAGATCACTTATAAACAAATCGTAAAATAAACAAAGTTTCTGGAAGTAAAAGAGCGATTAGCTTGATGAGGCAATTAGTTTAGAAACTTTGATTGATACGCATTTTCTGCCACTTTCTACACGTTGTCTACAATGGACTGATTGGCTATGATTTAGAAATATTTGAATATATTTATTCGCTTATCTTTGAAGTTGGTTTTATTTCTTGATTGGTTCTATGGCGAATGAAACCAGTGAACACAGCTTTTAAAAGTGCATTTAGTAGAAGTTAAAATGACATGTCAACATATTAAGTGGTTGGACGAAGCCGAGAGGAAACCTTGAACCTAGCTTTCGTGCTAGTTGGTACCCGTCAATAAAACGTACCTGGAATTTCGAAGACTGACGCTCTCTGTGGAATCAGTGTACAGAATGTTGATTGCATGGAGTAGTGTTCATATTGGAAGTTAATCGATAGAATATGATGAACACTAAACGGACCATACAAATATGACACAAACCACTATTCAGTGATCGATCAATTGTACATATCAGTATATTTGTTCTTCACACAACTGCATACTAAATTTCGTTTAGCTAGGTTTATAAGAATTAATGACATGTAGCGTGTCACATAATGAAATGAAAGAAAAAGAATTGTATGTATGAGTTTTGAACAATGATGAATAACAAACACTGTTGATTAACCAACTGACCTAATGCTCCAGTTTGAAGTGTTAATTGACGCGTTTCTGCATCTTTTGTAATGTAGGCTGTTAAACCAACAGCAGAACTTCCCTTGCCAGAAGTATATTGACCACGAGGAGTAAGACGGTATACATACTGCAGAAGTTGAGATTTTGAAGTACCTGGGTCACCACATAAAAGTATATTGATTTCAGAACGAAAATCACCACGTCCTTTAGCACTGAAGTCTTTACGTGTACCACCAAATAACTATAATAGAGGCAATAAAATAATATAACATGAATTAAACACTAATAAAATAATCCAAAAGTATCAGGTTGGGTGTTGACAACTAAATTCACTTTTGCTAGATTGATTGGATATTTACTCAATCAGTTTCTAGAAATTTAAAAAGATGATGTAACTCAATGTGTACAAGTTATCATGTACTCAGCTCTGAGAAATACACCTAAAGTGTGAGCAGGTTAGTAATACCTACTACTTGGTTGCCTCCAAGTGCCAAGGGTTGGGAAAGTCACCTCTACCTCTCAAAATGCTCTCAAGTGGCCACGCGTATACATACATTGATAAGGAAGTCCTACTCACCGCCTTCTCGTGGCGGGGGTGTTGTTCACGGAACTGAGTGGATGGAAAGTGAACGTCTGGTGCTTTAACCGGGTTGGTGGATATGGAGGGTCCACCTAGCGGAGTCGGAAAACTCTGATTCCAAACCAATGGTGCACATGGGCCCCAGTGTCCTGAAGGAACAAATGGTGTAAGAACCAATCGCTGGTCACCAGCTACCATGTGACTGCATTTCCTAACGTTGCTCTACTACCTTGTGGATTAGACCTCCAGAGTGAAGGCTCGGGTAGTGGCTGGTTAAGGAAACCACCTGCTTTGGTTTGGGCACCCGGGCAGTATCACAGCCCACACACAAATCAAGTGACTTGTGTGGCGCATATGTATTCAAAAAAATAATAATGATAATTCAATGACCCTTTGTACCAATATTTATGTGTTTAAATAATAAATAAGACAATCCTAAAAGACTGAAACGTGTACTTGATGAACTGAGAAAGAAGTTCAATCCAATCTTAGTGAAATAGTATGTATTTAGTGAGCATAAAAAACATTATTACGAATTATAAAGAGCAACACCATATTGGTAAAGTGATGAGGTTACGATTGAAATTGTCTAACATAGACAACTACTTTCATTTTAAATATATAATTTATTAAATTGCAGTCAGTGTGAAAAAAAAGCATTCTATACAATTCTAATATATAGTTTGTTGTAATTGTACCTACGTCAGTTGTAAATTTCTGAGTGCGGTTACGCACATAAAGTGTTGGACATTTTGACAATAAATCCCAGGTTCGAACTCCACTCTACCTATTTCAATCAGGGCAGCTAACCAGGTAGGTAGGTATTACTAGCTTGTAGTCAAGTACACGAATCTAAAAAATGAAACCTACTTGTAGGAGAATACCCTTTTTAATATCTTCATTTTCATAAATTGTTGGTGCGATGCCAGCAGCAAGTCGTTCATATAAATCAGGTTTACGAGCCAATGTATGAAATTCTTCAATACGTTCCTCCGTGAATTGACGTAAAATATGTGCTTCCTCACTAGAAGTATTTTCGTCAGTAGCGAGCCCATCATTTTGAACTCGATCATCGCCTTCTCGGCTAACAGAAAAATTATACGTATACTATGTTTAGACAGGAACAATTGTCTCACTTAAAAATAGTGGACATAAATGACCATATTATTAATAATGATAATATTAAGTATAATAATAATAAACCAGATATGAAATTATTTTGATATTTGTAGGGAGGAATAAGTGCCGAAATGGATCTGATAGACAAAATTGGTTGATTTATCGATAAACATCTTTGGTATAAGTGTATTTTCATAATCACCAGTAATATAGGAGCAATGTGTAAAGACAATGTATATTGTTTATAGTTCAGTGATACATCATATACGCATAGAAAGACATACTTCAACAAATCTCCTCTACAAAAAAGTAAATACCCGTTATACGTTGTCAGCCTGGTACTTGATACAAATATGCACTGGATTGAGTTGTCATACTACATTAGCGTAGTGAGATGTTGACTGGTGGGTGGCCAGACAGAAACGTGGTATTAGTCCATGAAGTCATTGACTGTTGGTCTGAGCCAAGTTAGTAGATGCAGACTATCTGAATGGATAACAACAATCTATGATTGGAGACATTGGGTGACGTGGCTCAGAATTGGCCGCAATGAAGCAGATGGATTTCCTTTCTCTAAATCTAAAGTCTGAGTGTTTCGCTATACATACATTTTCATGTCTTTTCAAACAACATTCTTTCTGACATTAAAAAAGAAGAATGTAGTTGTTCTTTCTGGTTATCATTGCTACTACATTATTTTGATTCCTTAGTTACTCATCTTGTTAATTTTTCTTTCATTGTGCTGTGGAAACTCAGAACAACACATATTTGTCTCAGACTCTATGTTGATTATGACTAACTGATAAAGTGAGATGAAAATAACAAGAAACAATAGTTGTATCAATAACAGAAAGATTAAGCATACAGAATATGGTTCGAAAATACAATAATGAAGTTGAGATTTACGGGGAAATAAAAAAACATCTAACTAGCCTACTGGGACCGAACTTAAGCCATATCACAACTAATTTTAAAATTACAAACTCCGCTTTTTACTATAATACGAGTAATGCTTTGAAAACATTTATGACCAAATACTAGTAACCTATACAGGTTCTTAAATTTCAGACACCATGCTTCACAGATATATAGTAAAACAGGACTGTGAAGTACGTTCACGATGAACTGTACTAGCACACTATTAAATCTCAGAAAATGATTTGAAAACTAGTGTTAAATTTATGAGTGTATTTAATGAATGAAATAATATTTTGGAGAATTAAGCGAGATTATCCATGATTTGCTTGACTATGATAAATAGTGAGCGATTGAGTTACTTGATTCAATCAGTGAAATGCCCAAACGGTAACCCAGAGACTTATATTTACAACATTAAAGCATTCTTTTCATCTGTATAAACAAAATAAGCTTTAGAAAAACTTTTAGAGAATAATAAGAACTTTCTCATTATAGGTACTTATAAATTAAATTAGTTTGCCAGGGGAATTATTCAAAGTGAACCTGTTGTGGAGCAAGTGGATTTTAAAAATCACCTAACTAGTGTACAGTTAAGATAATCAAATGATTTTAACTAAAAAAAACCCACTAAAACTTACAGAAAATGAAGAACATCTATATATGTTTTGTAAACCGCTTTAAGAGTACGTTGTCGGTTAGACATTCGTAGTGGTATTGCACGATAAATACCCGTAACGATAACACGATCACCCGGTTGAATCTTATCAACAAGTTCTTCGTGAGCATACATAAGTACTGTATGAGGAGTCTGACTAGCAGGCATATTTTCTGGAGATTCCTAGATAAGAATTTACGAAAGTAGGAATTAGACTATAATGGTAAAGAAACCACTGTCACAATGGTAATTACATAAAAGTATACCGCAATTGGCAAACTTGACCCCATAAATATCATATATATATACTAGTACAAACCTGTAATTTAATCATTTGTTTATCCACAAATAAACATCGATTATGTTGTAGTTGAGCTGTATGAGCCGAATGACAACGTATGCACGCTTCCGGTTCTGCAATACGACCACGTTCACATGGAACAGATGTCATTGCACCACAGATGGCACATTTGAACTCTGCACGCATCATTTCAGGGATGAGCGGGGATAAACGTATTACAAGACCAGAGACAGTTACAAGCTGATCAAGATCATCTGGATCAAGACTGCGTAGATCTCGAGATCTTGCACAATTGAATGGACGAATCTGAAGAAAAAACAGTAAGAATGAGACAACTAACCCGAACCAAAGGCTGATTTTTTAAACGACGTTACAAAAAAACACCCTATTTAGTTTGTGTTTTTCGTTTAGGATCTAAAATAACGAAACGTTAACTTCTCTAGATAGAAATTATTACATGTATTTAATAACACTTGAATTACTTACATCACTGAACTTGCTTTAGGTAAACTCGGTCGGTTATTTGACAGTATTAACTTCGAATGGAGATTGGCATAATACTTAGATTGTTTCACATCAAAATTATGCTGTAAAAGGACTACAAACTTTCAATCTTATGGTTGTTAAGGCTTACGTTGTCTTCATATAAGATAAATTACTGTCAGCATTCGTAAGCGGAAATACAGGAATGGAATACGACAAAAAACTAAACTTACAGACTTTATGGTGATTCAAAGAAATACACCAGAATGTAGTTTCGATTCACACCAGGAAAATCCAATGACTTTTGTGAATTCATTCTAGAGACAAATCCTTCTTTAGAGAGTCAGTCAGGCATAAAAAATAGAAAAACAACCCTTTCAAATGTTTTACTACACTAAACATCTTAAACACCCTCCCTCCAAGTACTTAGTTTTTCATCCATAATGTTTTAAGCAACTCGCTTTGAAATGGTTTTCCAGTTCCCCACTCCCCCTACGATTATGAAACCTAACCTGCCTAAACTGAAGATGTTCGGTAACTCTCTATGTTCAAATTTCCCTGCTTCTGAAGAATTGCTTACATATGGTGGTGACAATCTAAGCAATGTCAAGGTCCAGTTATGTGTGCTCAGCTATAATGGTGATAAGATAATTAGTGTCATCATTTCGAAATCTGAAACTGCTTGAAGTAAAATCTACAAATATGCAACAAAACTGACAAATGAAACGACATATAAGATATTTGAAGCACACTCGTCATCCTAGCAGTCCCTTTCTAATTATCGAAAAGTTTGTTTATTTATCTGAATTGTTTAATGTAGTTTTTGCCCAGTATCTTTTCATTTACTGAATAATCTAGTAACAAGGGGAATTACTATGTGGTATAATAAAATAGTAGTCCATTCAATACATTTTTCTTTCGAATTCAGTTCAATATCACTATTGAAGTTCCATAAATGAGGATTAAACCATATTAACATTTCTAATAGTTAAAAGCAATATTTAAATATATACAGAGCTATTTTGATATATATCCGAAATACCTGTATTGATCTTTCCAATTGGACTTCCCGAAAACGGTCTAAAAATAAGGCGTGTGCAGCAGCATCACATGCTGGAATAACTTCCTTCGGAAATGTTACCAACTGTGTATACAAATCTGGCCTGGCAGAACGAAGATGTTCACAGTCAATGTCCAAGGCAGTCGAACCTGATATTGCAAGATCTTCCATTCGCTGGAGATAAAGAGGTCTTTGTGGATCTATGGGTTGACCTGTTGTCAGATTAGGTTGTCCAGTTAAGTCTGGAGGGATGTAGGTCAATAGGAAGTGTTTAAATCTTGACATCACTTGAGCAATGTTTACATCGGTACCCCATATTACAGTCTAAAACAAGTTAGTAATTTGGTAAAAAGTGTAAATATGTAGAATAAGGATAAACTATTGTTAACGCCTACCTTCAGATTATTAGAGGGGATGAATTGGTAACCGCATTATCCCCAAGACCTAATTGATATCGGATGTAACAAAATGTCCAACATAGAAACCCGTGTAGTGCGCTCAGTAAAGTGAACAAGCTTAATTTTTGGTAAGTCCATTGAAAAAGCAAAGATTTAGGAATATATTATACGCACAACTACTAAAAAAACTATGTCTATAGATGAGCCTACCTTTTTTGTTTTATTTTTTGTCAAAATAAACGTGAACATTATTTCTAAACGTCTCGATTCCGCTTTTTTTCGCTAGTGATTCGACAACCGTTGTAGTGTAATGTTTATTACTACCAACCTTGGTGTATCCTATTCGTTAAATAATTTGCTTGTAGGAAGTCGGTTATGGTACTGGCTTGTGCCAATGGAATATTAATCCAGTAACCAGAAAAAACATGTATCACCTGTGTGTGAACAACCAAGTTCCATAAGTACTTTATTTGAATGCTGAAATGTGCTTGGTCTAGAGGGCCGTGGATTGACGTATTTACATATTGCTACCTAATGTGAAAAAGCCACAAATTTGATACGAAATTTTATCCCATAATACTAATGCATGCAAAAGTATGGTTAATAGGATGATGATAAAAGTTTACAATAAAAATAACTGTACAAAGCAAGAGTTAAGTAAAGAAAATATACAGAAATATTTCTTGCCTGAGGTCCACTAGCAGTCGACCCATCAGTAGTACCAGGGACACCTGTTGCGGGAACAAGTGGTCCAGATTGAGACAAAACAGCACGAACAGCTAATTCATCATTGACACCAGGTCGAACTGAACTCAAAACATCTTCGACTCCAGTCGCCACACTAGACATATCGCTGTATGATAAAGGACTACCCGGCTCCACTTCGGATGTACGAAGACCGGATGTGGGTTCCTGTGAAAAAATGAATCCGTCGGTTACAAGCACTTAAAGGATGAACAAACTTCAAGACACAAATTTTGGACGGACAAAAATAGTAGTGACGATTTATTTTCCTGAAATTCCAGTGATTAATTAACTAATAATTAAGTCAGTCATATGGGAAGTATAAACTGGTACATGTGTATCGGCTTAAATTAACACATCGTATCTGTACAGAGACGAAATTATCGAGATTAATATAAAAGTAGTAGGGGTGAAAATATCGGTGACAGTAAAAAGGATAAGGCATATAGAATTTGATATGAGGATGAATTCACAGAACTCTAAAACAACTTTGAAACTCATGATCTAAGGGATGAAGACGAGTGGCTGAATCTGCTTCATTATGGCTTATTCCGAGTTATACGATCTAACTTCAACCATTGACCGTCGGTATGGAGTGAACTCAAACCAAGTAATATGTACTTACCAACATGGTTTGGATCAACGGTCAGTGACTTTATGGGTTGGTGCCACATCTAAGCTTGTTAGCCTCCAGCTTTATTCGGACTTCAATACGTTAATACTGAGCATTGAGGTAGGTGGTCGTTGGGGATACGTGATTCATGTCTTAAACACCTGTCACTGAAGATTCACTACCTCATCAACCGATTTATCACATTTGCCTAGTACCCTGGATACGTAATCCCATATCAGATAGAACTACAGAGCATCTTAATTACAAATATATTTCGTAAAAAACACTGACAAACAATACAATCAAAATAAATCCATGGTAACACAAGGATACCTTATATACCATCAGCTCTAACACAAAAACCAGAAGGTAAACAGGATCTGATAACAATAAGTAAATGTATGTCTAAAAGAGAAATTCAACTAGTCATATTGTTTAGTAACTCATTTAGAACTTTTAACGTGATGTCTACTAAATCACGGTTTCTAGTCTGAAAACATTCATAAGACTTCAAACGGTACTTAATAATTGTTTAATATTTTTCTGGTTTTATGTAAATGAAGCCAACGTTTCATCAGACGGCAGCATCCATAGTTTCAACCAAAACGTTGCCTACTGAGAACCTGCAGTACGCATAATTTCCAGATGAGTTAAAGAAAGAGAAATGGGGTGATGGAACAATAATTTATGTACGACCTTTGAGCGACGCTGAAGTAACCTTGAGAACGTCCACCTACTTACTTGGACTAGATGACGGTTATAAACCAGTGTGAGGGATAAGGGTTACGACTTAAAGTTGATGGCCAGGGTTAGTAATTAGATTCAGTGTTTTCATCACGAACTGACATCAAACAAAATGCTAAAACGCTATTCAGTCAAATGAATCAATGAATTCCGCACCAAAATTCAAGACCTGTTATCCCAAGTCTTGTTGGTTCGTCCAGAAATTATAGTTTCGCTAAATCTTAATATAATAAAACCACAACCAGGTCAACAGGACTAAGTTCACTCCATGAATTGCAGCTGTAGGAAATTAGGTAATCGAAACATGTGAGTTATACCGATGGAGAACACTAAGCTTCGCATATACCACAAATACTAAGAGCTATATTACTTGTAATACTAACGTATACCATAGACTAGAGCCCCTCTTTTTAGTACCGCGCTGATACTATAGGAGTTAAGGCAATAGTAAGAACTTGATGTAACGAGGCAGCGTACAGCCAATACAAATACGACTAATGCTTAGTAGGCATATTTACCCAATAAACTGATGAATTTTTGATAAGTTTCATAATTTTTGAGCTAGTCATCTATACATAAGTTGGCACGTGAAGAACTGTAAGACAATATACTAGTTAACGGGCCGATGCCATAGAATTTTAGCTGGAAATAGTAGTGTACTGGGAAAACAAAGCTCTGAAAAACAGCCAGTAAGTCAACTCACTGCATTGCTTGTAGGCTCGGTGTGTCCTGACCGATTACGTCGTGTTCTCCCACGTGTACGACTTGATTCCCCAGTTCGTTCAAACGTAGTCCCAGCACTTAGCAGATCACCTGACAACTGTTCATCGTTTGTTGCATCCCTTCGGCGAGAACTTCGTGAGCTAAGACTTGACATTTTCGGACTTTCATATACCCGCTTTTTGAGAACAGAATAGAAAACCGATGTATTCAATTCCCAATATACAACGCCCAGTTTTTGGCACATGTTATCAAGCATTTAATTACAAAAAAAGTCATTATAAAATTCCTAAAAGTTTAGATCTTTACTGTGGTAAGAGAATTTTATGTCTCAGTTCTCTCTTTCATGATATTTTCGTTTTTATTTTTATTTAGTAGTAATGAAAGTAAGTTGGTAGAAATGCTTTAATCCTTGACGTACGTTTCTCAGTAAACGGCCAATTTTTCTCTTGGAAAATGTTAACCAGACGAGCTGATACTGCTTGTTCGAGTATGGAGTTTCAGTAACTCACGATCCTCCGAAGAAAATTGGATCTGACATTGGTTAATGGGAGATTAAAAAGTCATGTTACCTATTTAGTGCTTACTCTGTTCATAAGTTAAAAAGGATCTGTATCTTTGATTAGGTATGAGTTAACTGCTTCAATAAGGTATTCTTGTCGATGTTCGTGCATATGAAACATGAAATCGGGAACAGAGATAGAATTTATTACTAATAACATCAGTAGAACGCCCCTAAATGCCCTGGTATGGCCGAGAGTGCGGAGAGTCCTCTCGAAATGCTCTCACATGGCTACGCGTATATAGCCTCTGCCAGGGAAGTCCTACTCAGCGCCTTCTCATGGCAGGGGTGTTGTTTACGAAAATGAGAGGATGAAAAGTGGATGTCCGGCGCTTTAACCGGATCCCAAACCAATGGTGCTCATGGACTCCAGTATCCTGCGAGAACAAATGACAAATGAACCAGTAGTTGGTCGCCGGTTCCACGGGACTGGATCTCCTCACTATGCTCCATTGCCTTGTGGATCAGACCTTCAGGTCGAAGGCTCGGGGTGTGACCCCCTAAGAAAACCACCTGCTTCGGCTTGGGCATCGGGGCAGTACCACAGCCCTCACATATATCGAATGAGATTTGTGTGGCGCATATGTATTTGGTTCTTCCTTGTACCAATATCTATTTTTTGAAATAAATAAATTATCAGAAACAAAAAATAATATCAGTTTTTTACAATTAGTACAGAGAAACAATAGATACTGAATATAAGTGTGATTACATATAAAGTGTCACAAACAAAGAAGAAATTTGGTTATTATTTTGTCGTTACAGAAATCGTTAAATATACATGTCTCCATATATTTGGGCCTAAAATCAGTATTTTCTATTCTAATGTATCTTACCGAGGCAGTTAGGGGTATTATTTTGTAAGGAGCTTCAAAGAATAAAATACCTAATAAAAAACGAAATAGTTACAGTGAACACGCCCGCTTGACCAAGACATATATTCTCGATAATGTTCTCACGTCATCCTCGTTCAAGGCTAGCTACTCTCCCAACGAAAAGTATAGATGAGCATTGGTTGCAACTTAACGACGCGATGAAAATGGCGAGTAAAGTTAGTTGTGGGTTCGCAAAAAACGTCCCGCTTATAAGCACTGGGTTTCTTCAGGTTCCTTACAGTTCATCCGGGTGACCGTGAGTATGACCATAAACGAAGGATGTTACGTAATGAAATTGGGCAAAACTTGCGTAAAGACCGAGAAGCCTGTTGGTCAAAGCGTGCCAATAAGCTGAAAGCAGCAGCTGCATCTAGTAACTATCGGAAGCTCTTCCAACTCATCCAAGCCACTGGCCGCAAGAAGTCTGGTGTGAGTGAAACAACCTGCTAGGATGACGGGGTGCCAATCATTAGCATCCATCGACGATGGGCAGAATTCCTCGAAGGGCAGTTCAACTGGCCTGCTGCCCCGGCAACATCGGTCGAACTGTCCTTCCCTCCATGGCCGGTGACGACTGATCCATCAAACGAGAAGGAAGTCCGCAAGGAACTCCAACTCTTGAGGCGCTACAAATAACCTGGCCCAGATGACTAACCCAGGCTTTTTAAAGATGGTGGTGACCTTCTGACTCAGGAACTGACGACGTTGTTTACAAGGGTCTGGGAGCTAGAGAGTGTACTAATGTCATGGAATGAGTCGATAGTTGTCCCTACTTTTAAAAAGTGTTCACGTCGTTCCTGTAACAACTATCGGGGGATAAGTCTACTTCCGATCGCGTCCAAGCTATTGGCTTCCGTCATACTTCGTAGGTTGTTCGAAACCCGAGAAAGATTGACTCGCAAGGAGCAGGCTGGGTTTCGTTCTGGTCGAGGATGTATTGATCATATCTTCACCCCCTGCCAAATGTTAGAACATCGTCATATTTACCAGAGGCCAACAATCATAGTGCTTCTTGACATCAGGGCTGCCTTTGATTCGTTGGACAGGACTGTTCTCTGGGATTGTCTATTAAAGAAGTGTGCTCCTGAGAAGTTTATTAACATCCTAAAGGCCCTATATACAAACACCTCAGGCAGAGTGAGGGCATACAACCACCTTTCTCGATTGTTCCATTCGAGCAGTGGGTTAGGCAGGGTTGCCCAATCTCACCATTCCTCTTCAACTTTGCCATCGATGACATTCTGGAAACAGCTCTGATGGATGTAAGTAATGGTGGTGTGAATCTGTTGCCTGGAGAAAGACTGCTCGACCTTGAGTATGCGGAAGATATTGTCTTACTGTGAGATAATGCCCGAGCCATGCAATCCGCACTTAATCAGTTGGCAATCAGTGTCCGTAGGTATGGTATGTGCTTTGCACCTTCGAAGTGCAAAGTACTCCTACAAGACTGGCAGGATTCCAATCCTGTACTCACCCTGGATGGTGAGCAGATAGACGTAGTCGGGAAGTTCGTGTATCTGGGTAGCTGCATAAGTGCTGGTGGGGGTGTGAGTGATGATATCAATGCACGTATAGTGAAAGCCATAGCGGCTTATGCCAATCTAGGCCATCTTTGGCGCCTTCGTGACGTTAGTCTGGCCGTAAAAGGTCGGATTTACAACGCGTCGGTGAGAGCAGTTTCGCTCTATGCTTGTGAGTCCTGACCTGTCCGAGTTGAGGACGTTAGACGACTCCCTGTGTTCGATCATCGTTACCTCCGAAGGATTGCTGACATTGAGTGGCAGCACCATGTCAGTAATGCAGAGGTTCGGCATCGTGTGTTCGGGCACAGAGATGATAATTCAATTGGTGTCACCATCTTGAAACACCGACTTCGGTGGCTTGGACATGTTCTACGAATGTCGTCCCAGAGAATTCCACGTCGTGCATTATTTGCCGACTCTGGGACTGAATGGAAAAATCGAAGAGGTGGTCAGTGTATGACATGGTGTCGGGGTATAAAAGAAAGCTGCAAAAAGGCTGGCTCATTTTGGTGCAACACAGTGGCTAGAGACGTTATCAGACATGGCTCAGAATAGAAGCCAGTGGCGATCCTGCTGTAACCTCCTTGCACTTTTTTCATAAAAAATGGTTGTATCTTCCTTAACTAAAAGATTTCTTCTGATTGTACCTTTCCGTTTCCCCCATTATTATTATTACGCTACGTCGCACTAATCTGTTCGTTTTTGTTCTTTTTTCTGCACTCGTTACCTTTTTTCTCTTCGAATTCTCGTTGTTTTGCTTGGCGCATATACAAACTAGCTAATGTCGAAGTCACATCTTATGCTCAGCACCTCACGTGGAGTACCTCATTGACGTATCAAGGTACCATAGATACTTTGAAGACTGTAGAACACAGAGGACGTTATTCATAAATATATTAGTTAAGGTAGATACAAGCGAAAGTAAGACCACTGCCGGACGGTCTAGTCCATGGCACACGATTAGTTGATGCGCGTTGGTCGCCCCTGACCTTGACGAGGACCGATGATTTGCTCGATATTCAATGACCCGACTGCCGGATGATTTGGCTAGGGCTTAGTGACATTTCGCTGGCCCTACACTACTAAACGAAACTGTTCAAAACTGAAAAAAGACTTGGTTGAAGTTTGGTTAATATTTTCTTTGATAATGGGTATGAAAGTGTTCAATTTCTGAAAAAATGCCTATACTTATGTACTCCAACTTCTAACTTTTAAACAAGGCATGAATATTATTTTAATCCATTAGTGATATCTGCCAATCACAATATTTACACTATTAAAGTACATTACAATGAAATCTGGATAAAACGATAGATTTTCTTAAATTACTTCATATGTTTAGTGAACTTGTAGCGTGGCGTCGTGTCGCGATTGACTGTGAACACCGCTACCATGAAGCTCGTTCCAAATGACTCCATAAAAACCCCGAGAAGCCAAATATCAGAAGGCAGAAAATGGACCAAATCAAGATTTATTCACTGGCGATCTCGTGGTATCGAAAGGATACCGAGATCGTGCCAGGATAGAGGCTTGGTTACAGAAGGTAACCGAATTCACGCAAAATTACAATCGAAGTGTAAGAACAAGAATGGAAGCCCAATATAGCTGTTATTAGCACAGTCAAACAAAAGCACTTTAAAACAAACACTGGTACAACTGTTTATAATAATAATTGTTTTTATTAAATCAGTCGTGTTCTCGTGATAAATGTAAGTCACTACGGGAGCCCCCCGCTAGAAAGGGTTTACACTTTCGATTAATAGCGGTTTAAATCGTGGGACTGATCGGCTGACGAGCGTTGGTAGGACGAACGGATTGGCGAACAGGAAAGCGATTGTTGATCGTCGAGTTGCCAACGAAGGTCGTTTTGGGAGAACGGTACCAGGAGCGATGTGCTGTACTTGCTGCTTGAGTTGACATGCTACACGGGTGGTTTGTATCCAGAATCTGAAGATGGTGTTCGTAGGAAATGCGGATCAGAAACGCTGTAGACGTAGGACGAAACCACGTTGAGCCAAAAAACCAAAAGCGACCGCAAGGACCAAGTTCGTGACCAAGCGTGTTCCAAACATTCAAACCAATATATCGACTGAGTGCGTTGACAAGAGCGTGGGTGATCAGGCCAGTTTTCGCCAAAGTTGACTGAAGTCGACGGAACCAAACGGAGATGGTCGAAGGCGTGGGCTCAGGAAACAAAAAAAATCAAAAAAGAGAAAAGTGTAGCATGCGTGTAGTATAGGAATAATCCTACGCAGTATCGGTTGTTCACTGTGCGACTAGTCACGAAAGCGTACGGGTAACCGTACTCAGTGACCGGAACGTGACACGATAGTCTCGTTCGCGTCACGTGAGCCTGCAATCTCATCCGAAGTCAAAGGCGGCGTGGTCTGCTGATCTGGACGTGAGACTGTTGTCTCGTCCGTAGACGGTGCAGATGACGCGTGCTGTTGACTGGGACGTGAGAATGAGGTCTCAGGTGCATCTAGCGTGGGACCTGAAGATCGTTTGAGGATCCCGCTAGTAGGTTTGATAGGTCTAGCATTGAATCTCAGTTTATCAGATAGGGCACTGTCATCGACGTGTGCTGATTTGAGACGATCAATGCTGACGATCTCGACGCGTCCATATCAATCAACCTTGAAGGTCTTCTCGTGACGAGCGATCACGTGAAAAGAGCCTTCGTAAGGTTGTTGCAAAGGTTTGCGTACCGAATCTACTCGTAAGAAAACATGTGAACAGGCAGATAACTCTCGAGGGAGAGCGACCTGTCGATGTTGTATTGGAGTTGACACCGGAGACAGCGTTCGCATAAATGCAGACAGTCGATGGACGTAGTCTGATTTACCGAAATTAGGTCTGCTCCGTGGTGTGAAGGATTCTCCGGGCAGGCGCAATGTCGTGCCGTATACAAGTTCAGCGGCGGAACATTGGATATCTGCCTTTAAGCTCGTTCCGATCCCTAAAATAACGAGCGGTAAGGTTTCGTGCCAGTTGCCGTTTTCGTGTGCTCGTAGAGCACTTTTAAGTTGGCAGTGAAATCGTTCAACTTAACCATTTGGTGCTGGGTGGTAGACGGATGTGCTTATGCGTATGCATTCCGTACCAAGCAGCCGGGTCAGCGAGGAGAATCATTATTAGGGTAAAATTTCTCGAATAAAGCGTGGGATTTACCGTCACGCGAATAAAAAGTGACAAGAATTCGGTACACATATGTGGGAGTCTATTATATTAATACTATTCTTATCGTTATCCGTCATGTCGAGTATATTATATATTAAAAGATAATATAAAAATATACGACAGACGTGAATAGATAAATAACAGACTCACCAAATTGGCTTCTTTGGAAGATTTTACCAGAGGTTAAGGCGTGTTCCAAACTTTGGGATCACCAATTGTAGCGTGGCGTCGTGTCGCGATTGACTGTGAACACCGCTACCATGAAGCTCGTTCCAAATGACTCCATAAAAACCCCGAGAAGCCAAATATCAGAAGGCAGAAAATGGACCAAGTCAAGATTTATTCACTGGCGATCTCGTGGTATCGAAAGGATAGCGAGATCGTGCCAGGATAGAGGCTTGGTTACAGAAGGTAACCGAATTCACGCAAAATTACAATCGAAGTGTAAGAACAAGAATGGAAGCCCAATATAGCTGTTATTAGCACAGTCAAACAAAAGCACTTTAAAACAAACACTGGTACAACTGTTTATAATAATAATTGTTTTTATTAAATCAGTCGTGTTCTCGTGATAAATGTAAGTCACTACAAACTGAAGAATATTGACTGATTAAGTGTCAACAGTGTAGAAGTCAGAGTCGAAATAAGAAGGGTTGTGGAATAACGTATTTCAATAGGACCAGATGACTAAGGCTACTTTGATGGACCAAAACCAAATGATTCAAATTTATAGTGAATTTTATGAAGGATCTATGCAAAAAAATGAATATACTTAATCAGAAAGATGAAACAACTAGAAACAAATAAACACTTGGTTATTTACAAATAACGAATGCTAGAGTATCAAAATGAGTCTGAAAGTATACCCACAAACTTATGTGGGGGAAATAGTATTTACAAAGCAGTTAATATAAATACCGATGCTGCAGTAAATAAATAAACAAATGTTGTCAGAAGCTATTAAAATAAGTGTTAACAAGTTCGTTGGGGACCAAATAAGTTAGCGATAATTCAAAAAGAACACTGAGTGTAATGAGTAGCATGTGTATAATTGAATGATAACCATAGCATTGATTCACATTTAATAACCAATCTTTGGCAATACTAGGTTTGTGGTCCTGCCAAATCATCCAACCATACAGGTGTGGTACGCATGAAAATCTAAATAAAAAAGTACAGCATTTATCAAGGGAACTATTCTGTTACCATAAAATCTATACTAATTAGTTATAAACCTAAACTCGTCAGGTATCTGTGCTGGTGAACGCGTCTGCGAATTCGGGAGAGAAAAAATGATTCCAGTAATAATTACACGAAGACTAGTTAAAACCTAAGATAACGTAAATGGTAGCCGGTAATCGCATCTAAATTCACTTCTGACTGTTAACAATCGAAGGCTAAGATCGCAAAACTATGAGATTTGTTTCAATTGAACAGAGACTTATAAAACGTACAAAAATTAAAAGTAACTATCACAAGTGTTCAGGGAATGTAATTACAATAGTAAACAAGGTTAATTATACTAAATATACGATAATGTACAAAAACTGGTTGAATATGAAGAGAGATTGAATAGAATGTTAACGAACTTAAAATTAAGTGTTTGTGAAATAAGACTTTTGAAATTTTACAATAATTTACATGCATTATGTAGGTTAAATTGTAGAAATTCTTATCATACTCCAATGTAACCGATTTTTGACTGATTAGTAAATGTGCTATTCTAATTTGATCAAGTACTTTGTGACCATATATTCAAACATATTTCCTTTTAATGATTTCAGTCATTTCTATTGTATGTTTTTTCTATATATGATGTGCGTGCTTTGTTGGTATGTGTTCATTTACATACTTTAATGTCATACACTACCATTTTTCTTATATAAAAGCGAACTCATACTTAACTAATTGTCTATTGACTAGTAATATTCAAAGGCCACGCTATGTTCATTTACTCATACCCGGAGTCTGTTTGAATAAGTGCATGCATGAAACATACATATCTTCAACACACTTTGTATGCTAATTTTCGTTCCCTGTTGTTTTTAATTGAATTAGTCGAGAGAATATATAAGAGGTTTAATGGTTTAACTGATCGCAGCTAAACCACCTTTGGAAACGTGGAAGCACAGAACAGATGTTTTGTCTTAGTATGGAAATCATTAGCAGAACATGTCCACGGCCTTGTCATTAAGAATCGAATCCAGGAACTCTGGAGTCACACGCAAACGATAACCAACGATGAAAGTTGTACAAACATTACAAATCCCCTTGTACGAATGATTTCAGAAGATAATAAGAATCCCATATTTTGCTAAATAAACTATATGATGAAGTCAATATAAAGCTATCAGTTTATTAAATCCACTTGGTATTGTTTACTTGTATCTTCTCATTGTTATTTAGAACTGCAATTGATCATTCTCCTAATGTAATATGTGCATACTGCGCTGACTGCCTCAATATTGTCTTAAGTCACAAGCTTTATAAGCAAAGATGGATTGTAGCTATCAGTGGAATCCAAGACACGCATTTCGTCCTATTTGGGACTTGTCAGCGAACAATACTGGGTTCGAATCCCAAAGTGAATATCAACTCTAAGATGCGTGTTCATCCAACTGACGAGTCCCAAGTAAAATGAAACGCGTGTTCTCAATTTCACTGCTAGCCACCATCCATCAATTGCTTATATCAATTTATTATTCTAAACTGACCGTCTCTTATAAATCACAATCTAAAAGATCTGCTTTGAGTTCACAGTTTTAATTATCCAAGTACTTTACCGTTCTCAAAAAAAGATACATATTTAGTAATTAATGTAACGTGACATTTAAGTAAAATGAACATGTAATTACTGACATATACAAATATGTACATATATTTAAATACATTTACATATGAAGAAATGTCAATCAGATTAATAGGCAATTTAACTAGTAATAATATAAACAACCAAACTTGATCAAATTCATCTGTTAACTGGATAAATTAAATAAGAATTATTAAATTAATTTAAGCTTTGAATATAAAATACTCTGTTGTGAATTTGTCAAGAAATTTCCTTGAAAAATGAAGCAATTATTGGTAAGTATCATTAAAGAAATATACTGAGTTTTATTTTATCAAATATATATATCCATCACCTTACATACTTACTTACTTGTTTACTTACGTATTCCTGTTACCCCTCGTTGAGGAGCATAGGCCGCCCGCTAGCATTCTCCGTCGAACTCTGTTCTGGATAATCCTTTCTAGTTGTTCACAGTTGCGTTTCATTTTTTCGGTCTCTGTGTTCAATTCCGGACGCAATATGTCCATTGGTCTTCCTCTTTTCTTATTCATTTCAGGATTCCAAATTAGCGTTTACCCCATGATTTAGTTTGATGATTTCTGCAATGTATATCCTATCCATCTACAGCTCCTTAAATATATATATATCTTACCTAGTAGAAATTAATAATATAGGGGTTGTGGAGATTATTAAGATTTTGATTGAGATCAAAAAAATTAATAAGAGTAAGAAATTAATAAATTTGGATTGTGGTTAGCAGTCGAATCCAGGATGAGTGTTTTGTCCTTGATGTGCACAATTAAAGCCAGATATAGTGCATATTGTTTCTCTTCTCCGAACCAATATTTCGTAGTTGAATAAGAAAGATTAGTCCAGCGAAGAGTTGTTATTTCGGCGAATTCATTTTCGAAGTTGTACAATCGCAAATATATATAATTATTTTACAGAATGATAATAATTATAGTAATATTGATAATAAACTTCTGTTAGAAAAGGTGACAATGAGGTAAAATAAACAAAGATATTAAAAAAAATTTTCCTAAACAACGAAAGTTTAATAATCTCTTGGTTCTTAATGGCTTAAGTATTCATCAAAAGATAGATAGGGGGATTATCATTGGGAAAGGATGGCTCAGCATGATAAGATAAAATGTTGAAATTGAAATTAAATTTAATCAGGAGGATCGTAGAAACAGAAATAAACCAGTTGGAGGTACAAGAATTAAGGGTAAGTTGAAAGGTGAAGCAGATGGATGTAAAGGAAGAGGAGTATGAATAAAGGAAGAAAAGAAGGAAAAAATTGTAAGACACTAAGACCATGGTAGAAGAAGAGGTTGTACTAATTTCTTTTACACAAACAGTTTGGGTTTTTCCAGATATATGGCTGTTGCTTCGGCAACGCAAAGAAAATGCAACTTCTACTTACCCTGTAGGTGACTTTGAACGCAGAGTCAGTCTTGACTGAATAACCTGTGTTCATAAGGTGTTCGATTATTGAACTTCTTACTCAGCCGTTTCCTCCTCTTTTTAGCCACGCCGAATAATGTTCTTGAATTCTTTTGGATAAAGTACACATCTAACGACCTGTATACCTAGCTCTACATTATCAGGTAAATTGGTTAATGCATACTGAGTTGATCACATACGATAATTTATCATTAAAATTATTGGTAAACAATGATCGGCTGGGAAATACTAATTTTAATGTTGCTATGAGGAATGTTCTTTTTAAAGAATCAGAAATTCTACTCCTTAAGATGTATGTACCTCTGCTACCTTAAAGTCGATGTTCAAGTATAATGTATTCCTTTCTACTGTAATTATTTGTGTTTTCAACATTTTAATATCTTTGTTTTTTTTACCTCACTGTCACCTTTCCTAACAGGAGTTTATTACCAGTATTATTATTATCATTATTATCCTGCAAAATAAGCATATATATATATATATATATATATATATATATATATATATATATATATATATATATATATATATATATATATATATATATATAACATTATATCAGTTTTATTCAGACAGATAATTCTTTTCTAATCCACTATTCATTAATCAACAATCTGATTAGTGACCAATGTCATGTTTTTCTAGTACTTAGCGTTGGAAGAATTTTACTAATTAAGTTAAAATGTGACCACTAGTCTAATTGTCTGGAGACCGCATACAATATATTTGTATCAAATGGTTGGACTTAGTCGACGGGAAACTTTGAACCTAGGTTACGTGCTAGTCAACAATTGTTAGCAAGGAGTACCAGTATTCTCGAGAGAACTGATGCTTTCTCGTGGATTTGATTATGAGGCATCCAGCTTTATTCTCTGAGACCTTATCACTGAACTATTAGGGTGGGGGAGTCAAATTACCCCCCCATAAGAGGTCAAATGTATTTGTTACGTATCTTTTTAATATTAGCACATAACTGAGATATTTATAACTGGTTGAACACTGAGTGGTAATGAATATCAGTTTTGTTTAATTCTGTCAATCAGTTAAACCACACTGCAACAAATGTAACATTAATGACTACTGCTCCGCGATCAGTCGGTATAAACATCAATTATTTCAGTTCTAATTTCGATTTTGAATGTGTTTCGCTCAAAAATTCTACTGAAATCTGTAACAAAATAGGCAGCTGATGAGACAAGAGAATTACATAAATAGGTAAAATTTTATAATGACTTCATTTTGCAAAATGAAGTATTGGAGTACGGTTTTTATACTTTACCAAGTAACTCTGTAATGTTGTGCCAAATATAAGCGGTTGTTCGCACCTGTGTTCTCGTTCACTACAATACTTTTAAATGTCTAATAGGAATTAGTCAGACAGTCTAGGTACTTCACATTCACAAATATAATACATTTAGCATTAAGTTTCATGGAAAAATATCTTTATCAATAATAGAACCACAATATTACTTGACGTACCGGAAACAGATGAAAAATAGTAACACTATGATACATGAATTTTGCAGAAGCTTTTAAACGACCTAGAAAATTTTTCTGTGATATAGATGTATATGTGGTCGTTTGTGATTCAAAAACTGATTTGTAAGAAGGGAAGCGAAATTTTGTTTCAGCTATCTCATTTACTGGCTTTGTTTCTCTATTTTCAGTTATAGAAGGACTGTCGTACCACTCGGGTTCCAAAAGAGAATAGGTTTGTGCTTTAGGATAATCATCTTTCTAACCCTTTACATCTTGGTCTGACTCACAATGATTAGGTAACTTAAGAACATAGAGTTCCATGGTAGTCGAGGGTCACAGTAGGTCCGCCCTTATTTGTTCCTTTAGGATCTAAAAATCGATATGAACCATTAGTTTAAAATCAAAATTTTCCAAATTTATTGAGTGGAACCTGTTTGCATATCAAAGATCCACTTTATTTATTTTACTTTATATAATCACCCTTGTCAAATGAAGTCAATAAATAGAGCTTCTCTGAAAGAGACTAATAAATGTCCATTATTTGGGGGGGGAAATTATTTCATTGATAATTTTAAACAATAAGATTACAAGAAAATTAATATTTCAATTTAAATACATTAACAATTACGTTTAGTCAGTGGGGTAATTGTCATCCATGTAGATGTTGAGATGGAAAAAACACATATTACAAACATAAGTGATATTTATGACGCAAAACAACTTTCCAAACTGCTACTAAAACTCATTTGAAAACGGTTGATTAAACATTTTCAACCAAATGATAGTCAACTCAGATAGTTAAATAGTATCACAAGGGGTTTTGTGGAGATTGTAATAATTTCAGTAGTTGAAATCATGAGTCAATTGGAACTAGACAAAGGGGTTTGTTGTAAGATAGTAACTCACTGATGACAGTGGTTGAAGTGTCTCTCAATTTCGTGTATTAGTTGAAGTTGGACATTAACACCGCTGGATTCCGGCTCAGTGGTTTAGTGGTTAAGCGTTCGCGCCAAGACTGATAGGTTCTGGGTTCGAATCTCGCGTGGCAGAATCGTGGATGAGGAGTCTCATACTAGGATGAAACCGTCGTCCAGTGCTTCCAGGTTTTCCATGGTGATCTAGCTTTAATTGACTCATGATTTCAACTATTGAAATTACTAAAATCTCCACGAAACCCCTTCAGATAATAATAAGTGATATCTTAATTTAAATGAACCAATAAAAATCAAGGGAACCTTTCATCTTTTTGTGCTAAATTTAATAATGATTATTTATTATGCCATATAGAAATACCTGTATCTAATACACAGAATGGTTTATTATCATTTAAAAGAAAGTCTGTTTTAGTCATTATAGAATCAAAAAGACAATGTGTAATACGTCACGTGATTACTTCTTTCTATGTAGATTACACATAATAGATAGATCGATGGATTTTGTATACAGTTAGCACATAAATAAATCATTTTATGAATGGTTGATTGAATAATAAGCAAATTAGTAAAGTAGAAATGATGAAATAGATCGATTTATGATTTCTAATTTATGATGATTCTATAATATCGGCAAAACTCGATATTGATAATATATTAACTAGTCAATAATGACCATCTTCTACGTCAAATTTCTGAAGTTCTAATAAGAAGGTGGGACAAATTGAGCTCAACCATATCTGATGTGAGACAGTTAATTATCATATACATTGGAAGATGATTGAACAATATTTATGAATTGATTAAAGTTATACAATAACACCGTTGGGCGATGACTTAGTGGTATAGAGTTTAAGCGTTATGATTGGAGAATGAAGATCTTGCGTTTGATTCCTAGCTCCAGATTCATAGGTGCTCACTGTCAATAAGTCTCATACCAGAATGAAACACATGTGTTGTACTTCCATGGTTTTACTGATGACTTAACTATGATTAATTTGTGATTTAAAACTCGTGAAAATTCTTAAATCTCCACAAAACCGTACTTTGATAATAACAAATACCTCTTTCGTATCATTGGTCAGTTGTCACACATTATAATTCATTAGAAATATCTCTGAATATGACACTGAGTGGTGAATGTTTGATTCCACTAAGTAGCATTAGTCTTCAAAAGATAGTTTTTATTATTATTATTTATTTAAACACATAAACATTGGTACAAGGAGGCACCAAATAGATATTCACCACATAAATCATTTGATTTGTGTGAGGGCTGTGATACTACTTAGGTGCCCAGACCGAAGCAGGTGGTGTTCATAGGGGACCACACCACGAGCCTTTGACCTGAAGGTCTGATCCACAAGGCAATGGAGCATCGTAAGGAGATGCAGTCTAGTGGTAGCCGGTGACCA